GCCTGTCCTCGGTGTTGTCGCCCCCTCCGGAGAAGGCAGGCGCCGCCGCCGCGACCCTCCTGCCACACGAGGTGGCGCCCCCTGGGGCGTTGCACCCCCCGCACCCGCACGGCCGCACCCACCTGCCCTTCCCGGGCCCCCGAGAGCACGGGAACCCGGAGAGCTCTGCTCAGGAAGATCCCTCGCAGCCAGGAAAGAAATCCCCCTGAATCTGCGCTCCTTTCCTAGAAAGGACGAAGGTTCACGCGGAATAATACAAGTTAAAACACCCTCAAGGGGAGAAGCGTGATAGATGCACGCCAGGCTTTAAAACAAACAGGTGTTTTGTGTACATTTGGAGTTCCCGTTTTGCTCATCTTGCACCACCCCACCCTCCACACACTAACATCTCTTTCTTCCCCACCAGCTGTAAAAGAACCTCTGCCTAGATCCTGATTCTTTTTTTCTTTTTCTTTTTCCTAAAGAACTCCCCCAAATAAGTTTTGCCTTCCTTTTAGGCGTGTTCCATTATCTTTTAAAATATAGAACCTGATTCTAGGAAGTAAGAAGGGTCTGCTCTGTGGTGAGCCAATTGAACCAGCCTGGGGGGAAGGTGGCCAAGGAGTTGACATTGAACCACAGAGTTGTCTGTCAGTGACTCAAAGCTGTCCTGCCTGCTTCAGGAGGCTTTCCGCAAACAGAATGCTCTTCAGTATTTTGCAATGTTTAGCTTTTTAAAAGATATTTTTTCAAAGAGGATGCAGTTGCTCACGTCGCAACCTATTCTGAAGTGGTTTGAATGGTATCCCTTAGGAACTTGCACTTGTTTAAAGAGACACGGAGTTGGGCCATTGTCAGAACTTAAGTCAGGGAAGTAGATGGGTGAGGAAGGCCAGAATCATTCTTAGTACATTTGCTGGCACTTTTAAGAAATTGACCATTAATCAATTGACTCATCTTAATGATATATATACATACATATAGAGAAGAGCATCTATCCCCACCCTGCCATTATTTAATCCATCCTGTTCTAAGTTTTTATAATCTTGCTGTAAAAAAGGAAAAATGTGCACTGAACTTAAAAACACAGAAACAGAAAAGTCCAAACTGCTTTGTCCTATATCCTGTTATATTACGGAAGTGGAGGAAAGCGTTAAACTAGTCAGTTTTTATTGGAAATGCTGTAAAGATTGGAATAAAGCCCTGTGAGGCCTTCCTATCTCCAAGTCTATGTATTTTCTGGAGACCAAACCAGATACCAGATAATCACAAAGAAAGCTTTTTTAATAAGGCTTAAACCAAGACCTTGTCTAGATATTTTTAGTTTGTTGCCAAGGTAGCACTGTGAGAAATCTCACTTGAATGTTATGTAAGGGGTGAGACACAACAGTCTGACTATGAGTGAAGAAAATATCTGGGTCTTTTAGTGAGTTTGGTGCATTTGCTGCTGCTGTTGCTACTGTTTGCCTCAAACGCTGTGTTTAAACAACGTTAAACTCTTAGCCTACAAGGTGGCTCTTATGTACATAGTTGTTAATACATTCAATTAATGATGTCTGACATGCTATTTTTGTAGGGAGAAAATATGTGCTAATGATATTTTGAGTTAAAATACCTTTTGGGGAGGATTTGCTGAAAAGTTGCACTTTTGTTACAATGCTTATGCTTGGTACAAGCTTATGCTGTCTTAAATTATTTTAAAAAATAAATACTGTCTGCAAGAAACCAGCTGGTTTAGAAAAGTTTAGTATGTGAAGATAAACTAGAAGTTATCTTTATATTCTAGTATTTTCAGCACTCCATAAATTCTATTACGTAAATATTGCCACACTATTTTGTGATCTTAAAATTCTTACCAAGGAATAAAAAGTTTAATATGCAATATGAGATTGTCTAATAATTAAAAAGACATAATAGATGCTTGATTAATTTTAAGATGTCTATGAATATAGGGATGAAAGTCATCCAGGTTCTCAAATATACAACTTTGTCATTGGCATGATATTACACGTTTCCAATCTCTTGCAAGCCTACAGGCACTGGCTGTGTTTACCTGCTTGTTCCCAATGTATCTTAATGAAAAGTGCAAAAGAAACAACTACCAATCACTTGTGTGGTTTGTTTATGTTAGACCCAACTTGCTGATGTTTTATGATTGATGAATTTTTCACTTTTCATCTTTGGCACCAGATAGCCTCTGCTGTAAGACCTAGTGTGTTTCTTTTTCACTGGGTCCGGTATAAATATGCTACCACTTAGGGGTGCTACATTTCTCAGTATATTTGAGCTCCTTAACCTTTATAAAAGAATTCTCTTGTGGGTTGTCATCATGAAATTCAAAAGAACAGAAATAATTTCTAGATTTTTCTCAAACTTATAATCACATGGTTATAGTGATTTGATAACAAACTGTGTGAAGGATTGTCAATTTTTAGTTTCAATAATGTTCTTTACAAACCCCTTATTTTTGAAAGGTCTTGAAATAATAGTCAAAATTTATGAGATGTAGAAAAAGTGCTCCCTCTGCTGACTTTATGGCAACAGAACTGCAAGTCATAGAAAGTGGAGCCAGAAGGAACCTCAGAGATTGGTTTGTCCAGCCCCCTCCTGCATTTTATAATACAAGGGAAATGAAGCCAGCAATATCAAGTATCTCCCCAAGGTCACACCTACCTGGAGCCAGCATTAGAGGCCAGATGTATTGTATCCCCCAGTCAGTGAACTACTACCCACTGCTCGTGCATCTTGAACCAAGTAAACTGAATTTGGGCAGTATTCATGAAATGTCATGAATAAACTACAGGAACAAAGGAAATAAAAATTAATATTAGAAATCAAGGGTAACACTTTAAACAATAAAGGTAAATTTTTTAAAAAAGGAAGAAGTCAAGGATAATAAAATGTCGTAGCGTGTGTATAATTTTGGTATAATAAAAAAACCTCAGGGTTGGACCAGATTTTATAGGTTAATTCAGTCCAAATGTATATATACTTATATTTAATAAGATAAAGTTAGGACAATTGCAAAATTATATTGTACCTAGAAAATATTATTTTGGTCATTGATTTCTTTTAGTAGATTAAAAGACTGGAGTCATCATAATTTGCCAAGGAGGGTTCTATACCTGCTGTGGTGAAATTTTAGTCAAAATTCTTTATAGTTTGTGATTTTTCAATTTAAGACAAATATGAATCTTGAGTCAATAATGCTTTTTACATATAGTATTATACCAATCAATTTTACATATATATATTTCTCAGCAAGCTTTATGTTGAATTAATAAATGGCCTTTTCCCCCAGGAGAGGTAAGCATATTTTTAGACCACTAGAAACTACAATTTAATAGCTATTTAAAGTATAACTGGAGTTTTAATTCCTATCATTGTGAAAACTACTTTTCATTTAGTTCTCTGTTGCTGGCAATACAGGCCATAATTTTGATTATTGCCCATGACCTCAGATTTGTTCAAATGTATGTAACATAAGCCTCAGCTTGTTTCTGTTTATGTCACAGGTCAATTCTGAACCTCTTGGGAGGTGACTGGCAATTGAGGTTCTAGGAAGACATGGGTGGGCAAACAGACTAAGGCCTTTTACTTTAGACAGAAATGAACAGAGCCCTCATGAATGAATTAAGACCATTATAAATGCCCAAAGGTGGCTATACTATTGTGATACTAGTATTTTACTTCACATAGCAATCTGATGTGTTTCATTAAACAAAAAATCTGGTAAGTTCAAAATG